GTCTGTGCCTTCTGGAGGATCTTGCTTGCTCGGTGTCCACCAACAGAGGATTTAAGTTGAAGGCTCTTGGACCTTCAAAGAACCCGTCCAGAGGACCTATACAATTTTTTTTCCTTTTGATTTTTTTACCTGGATTACTGAGATGCATCAGGACACTTACCAAGTAAAGTGTTCTTACTCCACTGGCAGAAATTTTGACTTAATTTGAGTCAAATTTTCAGACCAACAAGACAAATAATCTTACACATTCTGAAAACAAGATGATTATTCTTACACAATCAGTTCTTGTTTAGTAAATCAGTCTGAAAACAAGATCAAAAAGACTTTTTGGCTGATATAAGGTTTTAAAACTTGGTAAGATGGACAGTTTTTGCAGTGTACAGATGGGACAGTGGAGTTTGTGTCAAACCAATTATTTCACTAGCTTGATTTGTTATGCGTGCCAGTTTTGTTTTCTATTTGCCAGTGAGAAAGTTATACCATGAAGTGTTATTGAAGGTGAGAATAGATTCTATAAGTGGCCGGTAAACCATGATTAAAACCGTTTTGCTGACATTAAAAGTTCCTTAACTTTTTTAGGTGCTGGAGAGGTTTCCTGTAGATCGTAGATGTATATTGTAGATGTGAGTTTGGAAGGACAAACAGGTGTCCATCTGTGTCCCAAAATATTTAAAACACTCTACTTGCTCAACCGTCTTTCCCTGAATGATCAGAGGTGTATGAAGCTGTGAAGCGGTTGCCGCTCCAGTTTTCCCCACACAGCACAACTCCTTTGTRTTTGTAATATTGAGTTCAAGTGATTTCTCACCAAGTGTTGTGACCAGGTCATCAACGGCCAGTTGATACTGGGTGAGTGAATCCATGCTGTCCATGTGCAAGTAGGGGTCTCTGCAGAAAGTGTTGCCCTGTGGGCGGAGACGGCCCAAATCGTCATTGGCCGAGGTCTTGATGTGGGCGGAGACGTCCCTGCTCATGATTGGCCGAGGTCTTGATGTGGGCGGAGACGTCCCTGCCCGTGATTGGCGGAGGTCTTGATGTGGGCGGAGACGTCCCTGCCCGTGATTGGCGGAGGTCTTGATGTGGGCGGAGACGTCCCTGCCCGTGATTGGCGGAGGTCTTGATGTGGGCGGAGACGTCCCTGCCCGTGATTGGCGGAGGTCTTGATGTGGGCGGAGACGTCCCTGCCCGTGATTGGCGGAGGTCTTGATGTGGGCGGAGACGTCCCTGCCCGTGATTGGCGGAGGTCTTGATGTGGGCGGAGACGTCCCTGCCCGTGATTGGCGGAGGTCTTGATGTGGGCGGAGACGTCCCTGCTCGTGATTGGCGGAGGTCTTGATGTGGGCGGAGACGTCCCTGCCCGTGATTGGCGGAGGTCTTGATGTGGGCGGAGATGGCCTGAGACGTGATTGGTCGGATTGATGTGGGGTATGAGGTTGGAGGCAATGGGGAGTAGCTTGGTCGAGTCAGGCAGGAAGTAACTTTTTTTAGATTAGTTTTAGTCATAACTTGAGAAAGGACAGTGCTAGCTGCATGAAATTTGAGCGTTGTACATGTGAAAGGATGTGTAAAAATATGGCTTGGTCAAAACATCCCTAAACAGCCTGTAAAAAAATAATGATTTTTAGCTATTTTTTTGCTGGTTAGGGATGTTTTAACGAAGCCATAATGTTACACATCCTTTCACATGTATGACGTTCAAATTTTGTGCAGGTAGCACTTTCCATTCTTAAGTTATGACTAAAACTAATCTTAAAATCATGTTGCTTCCTGCCTGACTTGATCAAACTTCTCCCCGCTGCCTCCAGCCTCCTCATACCGTCAATCCGACCAATCACATCTCTTGGGCCATCTCCGCCCACATCAAGACCTCCGCCAATCACGAGCAGGGACGTCTCCGCCCACAGGACAAAACCTACTGCAGAGACCCCTTACMCTCCATGAGGGTTACCAGGGCCATGTCARCAGCATATTTAAAAAGACTKATCTCTTCTCTGCTACCTGTCATGTTGTTGGTGTAGACAGAGAAGAACAGAATGGGGGATAAAACAGCCTTGCGGGAGTCCTGTATTTAAAACCAATATACTAGATTTAAAACCATTCAAAAACACCTGTTGTGGTCTATCTGTTAAAAAATTCTTTATCCATAAAATCAGGGATGAGTGGACCTGTAGGTTCTGAAGGCACTGCAGCAGAATGTCAATATTTACAGTATTAAAAGCAGAGGAGAATCCATGAATAAACTCAGAGTGAGTGGTCTTTCAGAGTCCATGTTTGTTACCACAGTGTTTAAAAGAGTTAAACTTGCATCCTCCCTGTAAGCAAACTGGAGAGGGTCCAGTTTTCCAGACACCATGTGTAGCATGAAGTCACACAGGACTCTCTCCATGCATTTGCATAAAACAGATGTGAGTGCTACAGGTCTAAAATCTTTAGTGTCCTTAGCTTGTGTCTTTTTGGGTATGGGTAATATTGAGGTCTCTTTCCAATAGCTGGGAACACAACCAGAATCCAAAAGATGTTGAAACAGTCTGGTGATGACTTTACCCACAGCACAGCCTTGAAATACCCAACACCTGAGTCCAACCGGGCCAGAAGCTTTGTTTGGGTTTACTTTCTCTAAGATGGAGATCACCAACTGCTTATCAATCTTCAGGGATGAACAACTGATTTCACTGTTAAAATTTAAACTGAAACTGGAGATACTTGGTTGATTATTTTGGTTAAATCATAAGAACAGAAGACGTTAAATTCTTCTATAAATGAGACAGGGTCTATGTGACTTGTTCCTGCAAGTCTGGTAGTACGGTCCATCATTATATTTAACCCTTGCCGTGCCTTCCTCACATTCCCACATATTAGTTTTTCCTCTACCTTTTTCCTATAGTTGTTTTTTGCAAGGGCAGACTGTCTTTTGTCTTCTTGTTATTCAAAAATTTTCCATGACATTTTCAGAAACTTTCCACATTCTGGTTTTTGTCTGAAGCATCTTGTATCCAACCAGCCGGTGGAGGCAGATGGTCTCCTGTCCTGAGCCTGGTTCTGCTGGAGGTTTCTTCCTGATTAGCAGGGAGTTTTTCCTCTCCACCGTTTGCTCAGGATGGGAGACTGTGATGAAGTGATTCAACACAATCTGCTGCTTTCTTCTTTACATTGTTCTTTTTATCTACAGTGTCCTGAGACAATGTACATATGTTGTGACTTGGAGCTATATCAATAAACTGAATTGAATTGAATTGCATCCTAAAAACAATAAAAGCGTAACCAAATCCAATGCAAAAGTACCTGAAAATGTATAAAATAATATTAGAAGGCTCACGTCACCAAAGTGCAACATCAAATCAACCTGAGAAAGCCTGGAAACAAAACACCATTTAAAAACCGTGCACATTTGTTTTGTAAATGAAGCTCCTCATCCAATGACGGCGTTGAAACATGTCTCGTGTCAACACACTTTGATAACTGTTGCTCTTCCGTAACAGAAAAAAACATGCTTCAACGTTTCAGATCATAATCAAATTAGGAACAAAGGCAGATAAAGTAATGTTCTTCACATTAGCTTACCTATTTTAGGGTTCACTGGAAAAACTCAGGTCACTGAATTTCATCTATTTTCAACGACGTAGCTCCAGTTCACTTTTCTATCCTGGTCTGGTTGTGTATCAGTGTTCTGCTATTCCTGGTTCTGGTTGTACGGAGCCCGCGAGGGGATATGGGGGGATTTTTTTTCTTTTGCGTTCCTTCGCAATACTTTTGCATTATCTCACAATACTTTTGCATTAACTTGCAATATTGTTTTGCGTTCCCATGCAAAAAATTGTTTTCTATATGAGCTGAATTAAATCAGACTTTTATTTTGAAATATCCGGTTACTGAGGTGTAAAAACCACGTCTTCTGGTTCTGCAGAACTGCTGCAGCTCAATGAAGAGAGGAACTCTGAAACAGGCTGGTTGAACAGCAAGAATCTTTATTTTTCAGTCCAGGAGATTACAGCCAAAAACCAAATTATGGCCTCCAAGCCAAATGATTCACCAAGTAAGAAAGATGAAGAACGAAGGCCAAGGGTGGGGGCATACAAGCCTCTTTATAGGCTTCACAGATGTACTGTACCATAAATTTTGTCACAGTATACCTTAAGCATTCCTCTTCCTAATATGGTAATATGTGCCGAGCTCTGAAGCTGGAGAACCAAGATACATAACACATCTGTGCATTCCTGAGAAGAGGCCCCCACTCTTGGACACTACATTACCAAAACAGGATCTCTCGCCACAAATTTGTGAAATCGACATTGATGTTGCGTGGCTGCACTGTGTTAAAATATCGGGGTATGACATACTTCCATGCGTGGCTCTGTGATATATTCATTCTGAAGCTGAATTAAAGTAGTAAGCTAAGTCACTAATGGTGAGTGGGTGAATTTAATAAATCGTAAGGCACAAAGTGTTAAAGGACTTTTGGGAGGGAACACAAAAGGTATTGCAAGGTAACGCAATATTTTTGCGTGGGAACGCAAAAAGAAAAAAAATCCCCCAAGTCCCCTTGTGGGCTCCGTATAGTTGAAACTAGCCAAATAGAGTAATAGTGTTTAATATATACAGCAATCAGACATCTTTTTAATTCAATTTAATGTTTATTTAGAAACAAAGTAATCTGACGAAGGTAGCTCTTTTAAAGGGAAGGACAGACAGAAAGCAAGGTTTTACTTCTCAGACAGCATATTTTAATACTTACAGTTGCTCAGAATCAGTACATGCATCGAGACAATAGGATACAACAGAACATATTTACAACTTGACAGCTCACCCTTTTAAATCTGTCATGTCTCTGTCATCCATTTTACCCATGAAAACACTCCAAACCTTTCCGATCAGAGAGCAGTGAGGCTCTGAAAAGCTCGTTATCTACAGCTGAGCTTTCAGAGCTCCACWGGTTTCTGAACAATCATTTGAGCAGGTCTTTTTTATTTAACCTTTATTTATCCAGGTAAGCTGTTTGAGAACCAATTCTCATTTACAAACGTGACAATGCATAATTTCTTGAGATGCTTGTAGGGATTAAAACTTTTCGTAAATAAGTCTAGACGTGATGCTGACTGWTGCCCTTAAACATCAGCTGAATAATGTAAGAAAACTGGAACTAACACCTAAAATTATTGATGTTAGTCAGATTAAGTGGGCAGATTTAAAGATGGAAGAATCATTTTATGAAGAAGTCAGATTAAGGAGTTTTTACTGATCAGAGTGGCTGCCACACTTCACTTCTTGCTCTTTTACTGCCCAAGGTTTTTCAAACACCTGATAAACAGCAGGGATCTGCAAACACTAAGCTTTAGAACAATTTAATTTTTACCTGTTTGCTTTTTCAGCAGGGGGTGTTTTTAAAGGTGAGCAACAGAAACTTTGCTCATTGCCTCACTGTTTTAATACTGTTTATATTTTAAAGGTTTACCGGACGGTGACTGAGGATTTTATCTTTTGGATA